ATAGTTTCCCAAAATTCTAAAAATAATATTCAGTTACTGTATAAAGTCTACATGAGTCTGTATTTGTAACACATCTCATGAATGCAGTGACACTATTTAAGTGTTTGTTTGCACAAAATATAAGTTAAATGTATAATTTATGAAGAATCAATAAATCTTGGCTTCACTTAATTTTATGAACCACTTGATGCCCTACTTGAGCACTTTGTCATTGAAGCCTCAACTGAGGAATCATGTTTCAACACAGCCACAATTAGTCATCACTATTTATAGTCTGTATTAACTGCAAAATACATATGTTGTATGACCCACTGATTAAAAAAGATGTCTGAGTGAAAGTGAGTGTAATACAGAAAGATTTATGAGCTGTATAGCTCTCCACCATAAGTGTTTTGTTTGTCCGCAGTGGGTGAGGATCTGATGAGAGCAGAGGATGGTGGGAAAGATTTGCAGTTCTGGCGTTTTGCAAGAACACAGTTTAATGACAGTGTTTTATGAATAAACAGAAAAACAGGAGCATAAGTACAGTTAAACATTGCTTTAAAACTTAACTTCACAGATGAATTTTACAAAAGAAAACCAACACATAGATCTAAAGCCAGAAAATATATGTGCATTGTCATCCTCACAAGGCAAGAAAAAAAGAATCATCCCACTGTTTCTATACCGTTACACTTTAAAAATATAGTTTCTCTGTTTTTACTGTAAGAAAACTTACTATAAAGAAAACATCCCTCCCCTTTTTATTTGACCTCCCAGTAACAGTGACCGTAAAGTAAATGAAAGACACAATATTCTGTAAAATATATGAACATTTTCTCTAACATACAGTAGTTGCATTACTTAGAGAGGAGAAAGTCCTTCTTTCTAATTAATAGCACTAAGATATTTTAATGTAACTGCATCACAACATGTTTGATTGAATGAACAACTGCATAACAGCCACAACATTCCAGTTTCCATTACATCCATGTAAAAATTACCATACATCATCAATAATAACAGCAACAATGAAAACATATAAATCAAAAGATATTGTGATTAACTCCAAATGTAGCATACCAAATAACAGATGAAAAATTTTACATTCAAAAACACTAAAATTTTATCTAAAAAACTAAACGGTCTGAATGGCATCCTGAAGTTTTATTTACACACAGACTCATGAATTCCTTCACTATTAAGAGACCTGTTGTATAGAAGAATATTTAAACAGCATTTTTGTGGGAGTTGAGACTTCAGTGACCAAATGTTTTCTTCACAGAATAATAATTAGGAAACCAGCTCAATATACATATTAAGAATTGAATCTAGACTCTAGTTTTTCTACTGAAGCAACATTTCCCCTTCATTCCTTGCATTTTATAGTCTGAAGGAAACCCAAGAAAAATATTTATTACACAGAAAATCTTTACATAAAACACCCAGATTACTGTTAAAAATGACCTATTGATAAAGTTTAGTGACTTTTATACACAAAAATAGAGGCTAGAGGTGTCAAGGTGTTTCTCTGACAGGATGAGACTTTTTACTCTGAACACAGTGACACAGTGGAACCGGGACTCCATAACGCAAACCCAGGATAAAGAGGTTCTGTAAACTTGGTGTTGAAGGTGTGGAGGTGAATCAGTTTGTCAGAGGATTTGTTGTAAAAGGACAGAATGCCAGCTTCATAGTCTACATATACTGCTACTCTTTCAGTGACCGCTGTGGGGATGCAGGGTATTTTTTCATTATTGTGCCAGACAGAGTAACCATCATCACTAGAGCAGCTCAGACTCCAGGACTGACTGTTCCCTCCAAACACAGAGTCATCCATATCTCCTTTTCTGTTAATTCCTTTGTAACTCACAGATATGAAAACCTCCCCTTTCCATTTGACCTCCCAGTAGCAGCGACCTTCCAGTTTATTGTCACAAAGCAGCTGAGGATTGTCAAATCTGACTGGATCATAAGGATATGACACGTCCTCTTCTTCATTTGTTATCTTCTTGTCTTTCTCAGATAGTTTGAGATTTTTGCTGATTGTGTTTGTGTCAATTTTGAGTGGACAGGAATCTAAAGAGGAGAGAACAAACACAATCCACCTGCAGTTAGTAATCATTTTTGACTCTCGGACTACTCCAGAAATAAAAGATCAGACAGCTTGAATGTGGATGTGTTGCTCTGTTGTCATGAATCAGATACTTACACTTTTTGAAACCAGGTATCGACCATTTCCCTGGTACAGTCATCAATCTGCAGCAAAAAATGAGAGAGAACAGGGGTTGGGTGTGAATGTCAGGCTGTCAGTTCAGCATGTAGACAATGTTATTAATGGAGGATCTTGGACACAGATTAGTTTGCACAGAGAGAAAATCTGTACAAGAGTTGAATAGAACAATTCAAATCTTGTATAGATTTGATTTGTATATGATCTGTGGTTGCTATATTACATTGTAGTTTTGTGTGGTTAATGTTTCTAAGAGATGCAAGACTAAATGTATTAACTTCTAAACACTATTGTTTTGAAACTGTAAATTTAAAGCAGTAGATCAGCTGTTTTAAAGATTGTGAGTAAACACAATTTCACAATTTCCTATAAAAGATAAGCAAAAGATGTTTGTAGAGGAAATAATGAAACTGAATTTATAAAATAACAATGTAACACATTGAAAGGTCAGAATAAATCAAACTTGGCAATAACTTTGTTTCCACAAAAAATGCAAAAGAAGGACATATTCCATTATTGGTGTTTGACAAATAGCCTAAGCCCTATCTCACGTGTTAAACTCAAGGCCCAGGGACGAAATCTGGCCTGCCAAAGCTTTTTATGTGGTACTCTAGATTTCAAATTACATTAAGTCCTTTCACAAATCTGCAAAATCAACAAATCTCCACATTTATTCTGATTTTACTGCAAAAGTTTCTCAAAATTGGTCAGAAACATTGAGTTTGAGTGACTGCTGCCTCCGCCTTACTTGATGCCAAGTTATAGTCCATAATTGATATGGCGAGTAATAAAACGTCACATTTAACATCATACATTAGTGCAAATACTGTAAAAACAAACATCTCTGAATTGGCACCACAAAATGTGCAATTTTGATTGCAAAAAAATACAACCCTAGAACAAAAACAAAATCCTAGAGGAACAGCTATTTATTGATATTTCAATAGTTTAATTGGTTTTATTGATATATTCTGCCACAACTGGCCCTTAAAGAACATTCAGATTTTTGATATGGACTAAAATTAAAATGAATTTGACACCCTTGCCTTATATTATATTAGGTACTATTATATTAACCCTATTTTAAATATTGACAGGAGGTGAATGGATAGAAAACTAAATACCAAACTTATACACCTATACTTTATATATATCTGCAATGGATCTCTCTTTGGATCTACCTGAGAGTCTCCAGTTTGGATCCTGATTTGTTCTTTATATCTGTCAGAGTCTTTGCCCCTGTGTTTCGGATTTGATTGTAGCTCAGATCCAACTCTTTCAGATGGGAGTCGGAGCCCAGTGCTTCGGCCAGAAAAGAACTGGCCTCTTCTGTTAATACACAGCCTGACAAACTGCAGAAAAACAAATTATTTAAAGATGGTCAGATTACAGTAGAGTGAGTACATCAGTTCTAATAAAATGAGGATAAAATAATTAGACATTCATAAAAAGAAAATGATTTAAGAAAAGAGTGATGTTCTGTAGGTTAGGAATGAAACACATTTTTATGTTAGTTGAAAAAAATATGAATAGGAAGGTGTGATTATACACTACTGAATGCCGCCTTAGAGAAAAGCATGTTACATCATTGGTGAAAACTTTGTTGTTTTGCATTAAAAGCAACCATTTGATTGGTCAGAAAATGTAAATGTTGCGGTTACTACCCTGAAGAATGCTGCAGTGGAAAGGACCAATCAGGATTTCCCTAAAGTTCTGCTCTTGGTCTTACTCAAACTAAAACACATTTATTCATTCAACCTTGGTTCAGTTTCAATTGCTCATCAATAAATGAAGAATAAAGAAAAGAAATGTGAAGTTTAAATGTGAAGCAACCATTGAAAACCCTGGATGGATATATTTTCTCATCAGAAAACTCCAGGAGGAATCTCTTAAATCCCTTATGTGGCAGAATTAAAAGCATAGAAATCTCCATATCAGTATAAAATAAAATGATGTTCTTGTGCTCATGGTATTGCAGCTACATGGCTGGTTCCACAACACAATAGCTGATTATTATTTGCATTTTAATGACTATGACCTTGGCCCCAAGTTCAGTGATGTGTGGCATTAAGATGATGGTATTATTATATTTTGCCAATGCGAGTGTAAATATTCATGTTACAGCATGTTTTTGTACTGCATGAGTTTCACACCAGATCTTTTGTTTACATGTAAGAATTCTGCTCTGGATGTTGAGCACAACTCAAGCAAAGCATCAAGTATACAAATAGGGTAGATATAGTAAGTGTAGTTTAGACAGAATTTTAAAGTATGACTTTAAATTTACAGAAGGAATGTATGAGAGAGAGGGTTATGTGTTTGGTAAATTAAACTATTTAAAATATCTAGCAGAAGAAATGTAAATGTAACAAATAATGTTTTCTGGCAAGTTGTGATCCTGACCTCAGAGTTTCCAGTTTGCAATCTGGACTCTTCAGTCCTTCTACTAGAGCCGATACTCCTGAATCCTCCAGGTTGTTGTTACTCAGGTCCAATTCTCTTAGACTGGAGGACGGGGAGCTGAGGACTTCTGCCAAAGCTTTGCAGCTATCTTCTGTGAGGTTACAGCCACCAAGCCTAAAAGTAAAAATAAGAATATCAACATTTTAAAAAATTTATTTATTTTACTAAAGCAGTAAAATAAATGTCCACATTCTATTGTATGGTTTTTGTTTTATTATGATGTTTTGTGAATTGGGTCATTGTGTAAAAATATCTCACAGGGGAAAATGTGACTTATCTATTAGCACATATTTTTTGTTACAATGTAAATAAAGTGAATCACTTATCCAAAAACCCCAAAAACCCAATTGCTTATAAATGAGATTTTTTTATAACTACAACTTGTTGTTCATATATTTTAACCAGGTAAGTTTATAAACTAAATTTATAAAACTATTCTAATGATACTGGCCACTCAATGTGCTTTTACATTTCAGCTCACATTCACCTATTGACACAAAAATACACAGATTGGGGTTGAATGTTTTGCCCAAGAACACTTTAACATGTTGCAGGCGGAATTTGTGATTACAAATTCACTCCTATTGTTTAGCTATAAACTAATAATGATCAAATAACCAGTTCTGAGTTTATTTTGTTGCAGCTAAACCTGAGCTTCACCAACAGATGTGTGACAGCACTGATTAAATTAAATAGAACACAAATAATGAATACATGGGGATAGCATTTAAAATCCATTTAAATTCATATATTTATATTAAATTGTCTTCACAAAAATTTGACCTTGTTAGCCAAAATTAAATGTATTTTGAAAATGTGTATGTTTGTCTAAAAGTATACATACAGAGCCTTGTTGGATGCTTTGACCACTGGCATCAGCTTCAGTAGAACCTCCTCTGAAGCTGAATATTTCTTCAGGTCAAACACATCCAGAACTTCTTTTGATGTCAGTAAGACGAACACCAGAGCCGACCACTGAGCAGCAGAAAGGCTATCTGTGGAAAGATTCCCTGACTGCAGAGCTTGCTGGACTTCCTCCACCAGGGAGTGATCATTCAGTTCATTGAGGCAGTGAAAGAGAGTGATGCTTTTTTCTACAGGCAAATTCTCATTGAGCTTCTTCTTGATGAACTGGATTGTTTCCTGGTTGGTCTGTGAGTTGCTTCCTGTTTGTGTCACCAACCCTTCCAGAAGGCTCTCATTTGTCTGCACTGAAAGACCCAAGAGGAAGCGGAGGAACAAGTCCAGATGTCCATTTTGATCTTTCACGATCCTACTAACAGCACTCTGATGGAGATTTGTTAATTTTGGTTTCTTATAAGCTGTAGAAATCCTGGAAGCTACTTGTTTTTGTTCCATCACATTAAGATTGTCTTTGATGAAGGTCAGATGGACATGAAGAGCTGCCAGAAACTCCTGAACACTCAGATGGACAAAGCAGAAAACCTTGTCCTGGTACAGTCCTTTCTCTTCCTTAAAGATCTGTGTGAAGATTCCTGAGTACACTGAAGCTGCTGTGATATCGATGCCACACTCTGTCAGATCTGACTCATAGAAGATCAGGTTTCCTTTCTGCAGCTGATCAAAAGCCAGTTTTCCCAGAGACTCAATCATCGTCCTGCTCTCTGGAGTCCAAAGTGAATCAGTTTCTTTCCCTTTGCCATACTTTGTTGTCTTCACTTTGGTATGAACGATCAGATAGTGGATGTACATCTCAGTGAGGCTGCTTGGTAACTCTTCTCCCTGTTTAGGTTTCAACACATCCTCCAGAACTGTAGCAGTGATCCAGCAGAAAACTGGGATGTGACACATGATGTGGAGACTCCGTGATTTCTTGATGTGGGTGATGATCCTGTTGGCCTCCTTTTCATCTGTAAATCTTTTCCTGAAGTACTCCTCCTTCTGTGGGTCACTAAACCCTCTGACCTCTGTTACCATGTCAACGCACTCAGCAGGGATCTGATTGGCTGCTGCAGGTCTTGTAGTTATCCAGAGGCGGGCTGAAGGAAGCAGTTTCCCCCTGATGAGGTTTGTCAGCAGAACATCCACTGAGGCAGACTTTGTAACATCAGTCAGGATCTCCTTGTTGTTGAAGTCCAGTGGAAGTCGACTCTCATCCAGACCATCAAGGATGAACAGAACCTGGAACTGTTCAAACTGGCTGATTTGTTTGGTTTCAGTAAAGAAGTGATGAAGAAGTTCCACCAGGCTGAACTTTTTGTCCTTCAACAGATTTAACTCTCTGAATGTGAATGGAAATATAAACTGGACATCCTGGTTGGTTTTATCTTCAGCCCAGTCCAGAGTGAACTTCTGTGTTAGGACTGTTTTCCCAATGCCAGCCACTCCCTGTGTCATCACTGTTCTGATTGGTTCAACTCTTCCAGGTGGGAGTTTAAAAATATCTTCTTGTCTGATTGTTGTTTCTGGTCTCTGTGGTTTCATGGACACTATTTCAATCTGTCTGACCTCATGTTCTTTATTGACCTGTCCAGTTCCTCCCTCTGTGATGTAGAGCTCTGTGTAGATCTGATTCAGAAGAGTTGGGTTTCCTGCTTTAGGAATCCCCTCAAACACACACTGGAACTTCTGCTTCAGAGACGATTTCAGTTGACGTTGGGAAACTGAAGTATAAAGTTCTGAATAAACACAAAAGTAAGTGTTTCATTAAAATTCTGTATGTTTTTAAATAATGCATATACAGACCTTGTTGCCCCACCTCTTGTGTCTTTAATAAAATATTGCATGTTTATGTCTAAAGTGCTTGTTGATTAAAAGGAAAGTTAATATCCTTTCTTGTTTCTTGAAGATGTTACATCTTTTGTTCAAAACATTTTTGTCAGCATTTTTGATTGTGTACATATAAGAGGTGAAACAGCTTTAGGAAACAAGAAAAATATCCTTTTGCTTTATTTTCTGATATTTAGAGATAGTATGCACATTAGAATCGACACCAACATCTTCAGCATGTGTAATATTTGTAGAACTTCTCTTACTGTTCTTCAGACGATTTGCCAGATTCTTCTTCTTCATTTTCTTCAGAAAGTTCAGTGTGAGCTTTAAAAGGGCCTCCTTGTTGCTCCTGTTCAGCTCTTCATCCTCGTCTTCTGACACTTCATCAAACTCCCACGGACTATCTAAACATTCTGTGTTATTTGGATCCAGGACATCCTGGATTGTCTTTAGCTCGCCATTCACATAAGTTACAATTTTTTCCTTCAGCAGCTGGAACAAATGAATAAATTAATGAATCATCAGACTAAAATACAGCCAAACTTTACATTGGAAAGACTGATAAAACAGTGATATCATGTACTTAAACAGGACTAACAGAAAGTAGTAGTTGTAGATGTGCAAACCTTAAAGGTAGAGTCCAGCTGTTCAGACTGGCCACTAGGAACCTCTGAGCTCTGCTCATCCAATCTGCAAAGAAATCATGAAGAATTAACTCACATTATCTGACCACAAAAAACAATCATAATGTAAAGCTCCATGATTTAATGTCTGTCTGAATTTTCAGAAGAAAATATAAGAACCGGTGATTAACTATCATAACACCATCAGTTGTACTAAAACTCTGCAAAGTTCAATCTTAATACTACTTTCACAATGTTGGCTATCTCACTTCTGTATCCTAATGACATTGGCAGATGCTCATCATTGTTTCTGTGCTCAGAAATGCATTAGGAATCTATATCTTCCTGTCTGGATCTGAAACTGCATCAAGTTTAACAAGTTTGCATGCAAAAATAGATTTGACAATGTCAGATTTTGCCTTCCTACAAAGATACAAATTGACTAGTTGAACTTAAAGTTCTTTATAATGGGTTTTTCCTATCAGTTTTAGTTCAAACATAATCATTGATCATTCCTTATCATAGTGATTGGTGGATCGTGTTACCCTGGGAACAACAAATGACTGAAAAGTGTACTTCTTTCACAGATTACTTTGTGAGGCCCAAGATCAACCAGATCAAAAATGTAACACATGATTTTGCAGGACTCCTAAACAACCTTCATTCTTTACGCTTTTACTGTTTGTAGAAACTTAATACAAAACAATTTCACATATGAACACAGAGACGTCTTTTAAAAGAGTCAGGCCATGTGCTAAACATACTAGCAGGAAATGACCCGCTAAATCAGCAAACATCAAAAATAAAGATAGCTCACTTCTCTGGAGAAGGAACCTCTGAGCTAAAGTTAGGAACCCTGTCCTTGGAAAAATCACTCCTGAAGGACACACAGCTGGGCTCCTGATGGATCCTGATTAAAAGAAAAGTTGTCAGAAAATGAAAGAGGCCGATTGTATCGTGCTACACATCTTATGAGGAGACAGTGGACAGACAATCACATTTAACTGTTGGCTCATTAAAGATTTCAGAGACAAAATAAATATTGGTAAATAAGTTTTATTTAAGATGGTTTAAAAGCAGAATAATTGTCAAATTGTTAAATAAAAGTGTTCTGAACGTGTTATAAAAGCAATAAATTAATCAGCCCATAAAGATGCATGTTAATTAAATTTTACACAGATACAATCAGCTCACCTGTCTGAGGATGAAGGTTTTTCTGAACTGTCTTGGGAGACATCACTGCTGATTCCAGTGATGTCTCCCTTTGATGGGTTCAGTGATGATGTGGGGGAGACATCGCTGGATTCAGGTTTTGACCCCTGATGAGTCCTGAATAAAAAACAAATGTTGAATGAGATTCTAGTGATAGAATATGGCATATTCCATCACTAGAATATGCCATATTCTAGTGGCATATTCTAGTGGTACTAGAATATGCCCCCCCAAAAAAAACAAAAAACAAAAGACATCTTGTCAGCATTCAAAAATGATTTTAGTAATTAAAGAGAGCTCTTTTAATTTCTGGTTTTTGTTCTGGTCTTTTAGGTCTCCAAGTTACTTCCTGTTAGAGAACAATCTTCCACCTTCCTCTTCCTTTCTGGACTAATCTGCCAATAAATCTTTATTTTGTTACCTATTACTGGAGACGTTGCTCCCACTACTTTATTCTGCGTGGCCAAGTTGTATTTTATTGAAACACATTAATTGTTTCACACATGGAAATGAGTATCACAGTCATCAGCTAAACTCAACACATTTAAAAATGAAAATATGTCCTTTAAACAATTTTAACTGTATTCTAAAATTAGAACACTTATG